TATGTATTATTCATAATTAATATTATATATATATATATGTTAGTCCGATTATATATATTATTTATTTAATTATTATTATATATCTATACTACATTATAAACCAGATTTATCAAAAGTCTTAAAAATAATTTTTAATGCACAAAGTACTATACATTTATGCACAAAGTCTTAAAAGTCTTAAAAACAACTCATTTATACTACATTATAAACCAGATTTATCAAAAGTCTTAAAAACAATTTTTAATGCACAAAGTACTATATATTTATGCACAAAGTTTTAAAAGTCTTAAAAACAACTCATAATGCATTAAGTACTACTACTTTATGCATTCAGTCTTAAAATCTTTTAATCTACAATTAAAATAACATATTGTACAAGTTACCAATGCATATTATTGTCTTTTCTTTTCATGTTCTCAAGATACTTTTGTCACCTTTCACTCATGACTTCACCCTCTCATACCTCTATGTCTTCTTCCCATCCCTCAAGGTGAGATTCAAACTGATATTCACCATAAGTTATTAAAAGTTCTCTCATTCGTCTCTCATTCAGTTGCTCTAGAACTTTCGTTCTCACTCTCGATCTCTTGATTCTTTGCTCTTGGTGTAAATTGAACACATTTGTGAAGCCATTTAAATATGTTGGATTTTAAATATATTAAATTCTAAACTGTCATACAATTTTTTTCATCGATAGATTGTAATTGGAACCATAACTTTTATGTATTCAAATTGTATTAATATGTGAAGACCAAGTGTAACCTATATCATCGTTAAATCTTCTCTAATAAAACCAGTGAAACTTCAAAATCGTTAAAATTCACRACTCCCGCCGCATTGCGCGGGTACACAACTAGTATATTATAATGTTATATTGAGAATGAGAAAATTGAATAGTGTTGTATTGCGAATGAGAAAATTGAATAGTGTTATGTATTGGGAAGAGGGAAATGAAATAGTGTTATATTGAGAATGAGAAAATTGAATATTAAATTTAAAAAAAAAATTAAACTTAAAAAAATTTAAATTTTCTAAAGAAAAAAATTAATTTTTTTTAATTGGCCAGATGGTACACTTACATATCATGCAGTGATCGGTGCGTAAGGGTGGGACCCACCGACTGAAAATTATTATTATTATATTTTAATAAAAACAACTTTTGTAAATTACACTTTAGTCTTTGTACACAACTAATAATGCTAACAAAGTAACGTATAACTATTTCGTTAAAAAATTTAGTTTTAAGGTTAAAATTGTAAATAATCTAGGGGAGTATTAATGACATCCCCTTAGTAAGGGGTGTTGAATGTCTTGGAACTTAAACAATACTAAACACATAAAAATCATAATAAATCAAATAATATAATATATATTATTATTATTATACATATTTATACTATATTATAAAACATTTGACAAAAACTCTTAAAAACTATATTTTCTACGTAAAGTACTGTTTATTAATACATATTACTTAAAACTCAAGATTGCAAGTAGATTGTGCGTAAGTACAACTTATTAAAGCTCCATATCTGAATTCGTGTAACTAACTGCAGATAAACATAATCAAATACAGGATAAACANACTCATCTATGCTACATTATAAACCAGATTTATCAAAAGTCTTAAAAACAATTTTTAATGCACAAAGTACTATACATTTATGCACAAAGTCTAAAAACTCTTAAAAACAACTCATAATGCATTAAGTACTACTACTTTATGCATTCAGTCTTAAAATCTTTTAATCTACAATTAAAATAACATATAGAACAAGTTACCAATGCATATTATTGCTTTTTATTTTCATGTTCTCAAGATACTTTTAACACCTTTCACTCATGACTTCACCCTCTCATACCTCTATGTCTTATTCTCATCCCTCAAGGTGAGATTCAAACTGATATTCACCATAAGTTATTAAAAGTTCTCACATTCGTCTCTTATTCAGTTGCTCTAGAACTCTCGGCCTCACTCTCGATCTCTTGATTATTTACTCTTGGTGTAAATTGAACACATTTATGAAGCCATTTAAATATGTTGGATTTTAAATATATTAAATTTTAAATTGTCATACAATTTTTTTAATCGATAAATTGTAATTGGAACCATAACTTTTATGCATTCAAATAGTATTAATATGTAAAGACCAAGTGTAACCTACATCATCATTAAATCTTCTCTAATAAAATCAGTGAAACTTCAAAATCGTTAAAATTCACAACTCTTCCCGCATTGCGCGGGTACACAACTAGTATATTATAATGTTATATTGAGAATGAGAAAATTGAATAGTATTGTATTGCAAAGGAGAAAATTGTTCGCCAACCCTTGGAACATACTACAGCCCCAGGTGGCGAAGAGTCGACATCGAGGTGCCAAACCTTCCCGTCGATGTGAGCTCTTGGGGAAGATCAGTCTGCCTCGATTTGGTACCGCTCTCGCAGCCCGCACCGAAACAGTGCTTTTATACTAGTTTGCTGCTAGGAGTCCCTCTAGTCGAATCCATAATCCATAGAAGTCATTGGGAAGAAGGAAATGAAATAGTGTTGTATTGAGAATGAGAAAATTGAATATTAAATTTTAAAAAAAATTAAACTTCAAAAAAATTTAAATTTTCTAAAGAAAAAAAACTTAAGTTTTTTTAATCGGCCAGATGGTACCCTTACACATCATGCATTGGTCGGTGCGTAAGAATGGGACCCATCGCCTGAAGTTTATTATTATTATTATATTTTTTATAAAAACAACTTTTGTAAATTACACTTTAGTCTTTGTAGACAACTAACTATTTCGTTAAAAAATTTAGTTTTAAGGTTAAAATCGTAAATAACCTATTCTAAAGAGTTATTTTCATCGGTTTCCCAACAAAATCTAATCCGTCAAAAAAGTTAGTGTCGGAGTCCCTTTTTGAATCAAAGAGAATAATAGGAAATATTGTCAAATTTGGACTCACTTCTTCCTCCCCCCCAATGACAATGACAATGACCATCTCCAGCACCGATTCTCTGAATGTAGCCGTCATCGGAGCTGGCACCTGCGGCCTACTCACCGCCCGAGAGCTTCTCCGACAGAATCACCGAGTGACCGTCTTTGAAAAATCAGACCGAGTGGGTGGAACCTGGGTTTACGACTCCCAAATCGAGGTCGACGATGGTCTTGGCCTGGATCCCAATAGATCGGTGGTTCATAGCAGCCTCTACTCGTCTCTCCGAACCAATCTCCCTCGGCCACTCATGGGGTTCTCCGATTACTCTTTGGAACACAGATCATATGGTGATTCGAGAATGTTCCCGGGTCACGAAGAGGTTCTGAAGTTTCTAGAAGATTTTGCTAATGAGTTTGGCGTGATTGAGGTGATTCGATTTAAATCGGAGGTGGTGGGAGTGGAGTTAAGGGATGGTAATAAATTAGCGGTGGAGGTGGGAGGAGGTACGGCGGAGGAAGAGGTGTTTGATGCGGTGGTGGTTTGCAACGGCCACCATACTCAACCTCGAGTGGCCAATGATATTCCTGGTACGTAGACAAGATGCTTTTATTTCCATATAGGTGGCCCTCTCCATTTTAAGGTTTTGACTTTTTTTTTTTATTTTCCATTTTCCTACATTTTCAACACAAATTATTTGGTCACAATTATAAAAAAACTGTTATGATATAGTATAAAATAAAATATAGTTGTTTGGTAATTGTATACAATGAAATTAGGACTTTTAATGGTTAAAGGTGATCCATGATACAAAATCATTCAGAGGGTTTTAGAAGTTAGTAAGAGGTAGACTTTTCTTTTGCCAAATACGATTCACTTCTTAATGGTTCAGAGGTTGTCTCTTAATAAAACTATTAAGCAGTAAACAAACAAGCCTAAAAAGGTTTGGGTTAGCAATTAAGAGTTTTTTAATATTTTATTTTTTATTTTGCTCAAACAGATTCTTTATATTGTTATCAGAAATCAGGGATGGATCCAAAAAAAAATCTAAGAAAATGACACTAACAAGATTCAAACTTGGGTTTGAAGATAAAAGCCTTGCAAACTAACTCTACCAAATAAATTTTTTTCTCATTGTAGTTTCAATACATACGATGACACATAACAAATTAATACTATTGCACCTTTCACGAACCTAATTTTTTTTACGCTTCAACGAATGAATAATGCGGTGGCACGTGCTAGCTATACCACCAAAGTAAAGTAGGTCCATCCCTGTTTGAAATAAATAAAACAAAAAAAAAAATACTTGAAGTGTAAATAATTCTTTAAAACTTAATGTGGAGAGACATAAATGATTTTTTCTTCCATGAGATTGAATTATTATTATTTTACATATTTTTTAAGAAGTATATTTAGATGATAAAATGACAGAATATTTTCATAATATAGTTAATGTTTGAGATTTTTACAGTGAAAATCTATTCAAGTTGAGTATAATTTTTTTTAGTGATTTTAAGTTTTGATCTTCTAATTTAGAAAAGTTATAAAGAACGTGTTGAAAAGCTCTAACAACACCTTTTACAGTGTCATCCGCGATCTTTGTAGTAAACTATGTTTGTCATCCACTTTTTGTTCTCGTATTCGGACTAAACACATTGTCAGGTTGATCACTCATGTTGTTATTTTATACTTTGGTCATGTTTGACAAACTAGCTGATAAGATAATTAATAGTTGATAAGCTGACTGATAGTTGATAAAAGTAGCTAATGAATAAATGATGTTTGACAAAACCAACTGAAAAATTAATCAATTATAATATTTCATAATATAATTAAAACAAATCTATAATATAATATGTTAATCAATACAAAAAAGATAGTAAAGAAAAATAAAATAAAATAATATGTTGATTAAAAAAATTCAAATTGATTATTATATATATATATATATATAGGGGCCTAATCAAATTAGAACTAATTAGTTTGTGGTAACCGTGAGGTTCAATCTCAACCACAAATCAATAGATAAATTAGGAAATTTATAATTTTGGTAATTTTTAATTAAAATTTTAATACAAGGACATTTTAGGTATTTTCTCTCCTCTCTTCTCTCTCCGTCCCCCCGCCTTAGTCCTCTGGCCTCCGGCCATCGTCCTCCGGTGATACCACAGTGGTATCACAATGCATCTAATATGTGATTGGGTATCACACTGTGGTCGTTTGTGCGGTCGATCAGATATGTAACATAGTGATATCACAATGCATTTTATATGTGCTTGAGTATCACACTGTGATATCACCGGAGGATGGTGACTGGAAGACGGGGACGGAGAGAGTAGAGAGGAGAGATGAGAGAAAATACCTAAAATGTCCTTGCATTAAAATTTTAATTAAAAATCACCAAAATTAAAATTTTCCTAATTTATTTATTAATTTGTGGTTGAGATTGGATCTCACGGCTACCACAAACTAGTCAGTTCTCCCTTGAATGAGCCCCTATATATATATATATAGAGGAGTGATCATATGAAAATCGCC